CTGTGTGTAAAAGTGTTTGTGTGTAAAAGCTTCTGCGTGTAAAAGCGTCTGTGTGTAAAAGCGTCTGTGTGTAAAAGCGTCTGTGTGTAAAAGCGTCTGTGTGTAAAAGCGTCTGTGTGTAAAAGCGTCTGTGTGTCAAAGCGTCTGTGTGTAAAAGCGTCTGTGTGTAAAAGTGTTTGTGTGTAAAAGTGTTTGTGTAAAAGCGTTTGTGTGTAAAAGCCTCTGTGTGTAAATGTGTTTGTGTGTCAAAGCGTCTGTGTGTAAAAAGCGTCTGTGTGTAAAAAGCGTCTGTGTGTAAAAGCATCTGTGTGTAAATGTGTTTGTGTGTCAAAGCGTCTGTGTGTAAAAAGTGTCTGTGTGTAAAAAGCGTCTGTGTGTAAAAGTGTCTGTGTGTAAAGGCGTCTGTGTGTAAAAGGGTCTGTGTGTAAAAGCGTCTGTGTGTAAAAGCGTCCGTGTGTCAAAGCGTTTGTGTGTAAAAAGCGTCTGTGTGTAAAAGCGTCTGTGTAAAAGTGTTTGTGTGTAACAGTGTTTCTGTGTAAAAGTGCCTGTGTGTAAAAGCGTCTATGTGTAAAAGCTTCTGTGTGTACAAGCGTTTGTGTGTAAAAGCAGCTCCTGTGTGTAAAAGGGTCTGTGTGTAAAAGTGTCTGTGTGTAAACGTGTCTGTGTAAAAGTGTCTGTGTAGAAGCGTCTGTGTGTCAAAGCTTCTGTATGTAAAAGCTTCTGTATGTAAAAGCTTCTGTCTGTAAAAGCTTCTGTGTGTAAAAGCTTCTGTGGGTAAAAGCTTTGTGTGTAAAAGCGTCTGTGTAAAAGCGTCTGTGTGTAAAAGTGTTTGCAATGCAAACTATTGTCTCTTGCACTTCTCACTATTTTGTCTTGATACTCCTCTTCTCGACTGCCTATAACACAGCTTTCATATACCGTTTCTAAAATTGCATCTCCATACTAACAAGAGAAGATCCTGCTCCTCTACGCTCTCGGGCCATCCGTCGTCTAGTTCTACTTTTGAAGTTGTTGACTTGTTCGCGTTCACATGTTAGGTGGCAGCCTCATGACAATTGACCCAAGTGACAAAGGCTATTCACAACAGCAACAATGACAACACCATATTTCATGTCAGTTCAAGCTTTGAACAAAAACCAATGAAAACACACAAACGCAATACCAAATTTCATTTCAAAGGTTCCTTTTTTGGTTTTTGGGTTCAAAGTTGTTCAATGTCACGTTTTCAAACCTGTGAAACACGTTGATGTTATCACGATGCTAGCACGAGTCACTTTTGGCTCAAAATAGCTCAAAAAGTACTTTTTGAGATGCCCAAAAATCCCTACAAATTAATCTCCCCACAAGCTGGTCGCCATTCCGAAGTTTGTGAACCCCGCAGAAATCATGATTTAGTAGGGGATTTACACATATGTGGTACCATAGAAATCAGGTGTTCAATATGAACCGGGGATGGGATTATGCTCCTGTAAACTAACATTAAGTGTGGAAACCCCAGCCATCGCTCTTCAGCTCCAAAATCTTAGTTTACCCTGGGGAAACCAAAATTAGTTCCAATATGTTCCTGCTCCAAAATTACTGCGCCTGCTGCTTGGCCGCCACCGATTGAAATCGCTTGGTTTTCTCTGCGTCTAATGGATGCAACGGCCGCAGATAGGACCCGCGGTCTCTGACTGCTGCTTCTGCCACTTGTCCAAATGGTTTACAAAAGTTTTGCGCCATGTGACCTTCTAGCAAAGCCATGATCTGCGATTGCGATCGTTGAGCCACTGTTGGATGGTACGCGGCCGACCTCACGGCAGTGCTGTGGGGCAATACTTATATGCATGGTATCAAGAAAAGAGCAATGATTTTTCTAAAGTGAGCATGTACTGTGCGCCTTCCGTTAAATATCATTGAAAATTGAAACGTTATGCAACAAGGACGAAAAGCTGGTGCGCCAGGAGCTTGGCCATGGAGAAAGATTGGAGGACCACGAAGACACTTTTTTGATGTGGCTGCACAATGGATCGTTGGCAGTTGTTGAACTGGCTGTGCAAGGCTTCGTTTCCTGTTGTTCCGGTTGCCAAGATGCAGCGGTCTTGCGGGCTCAAGGAATGAAGCGCTCTGCAACCATTTTGCAAGAATGCGTAATGTTCAAAGCCGATTCCGTTGACCAGCACTTGTCGCAAGGTTTGACCAGAGGATTTTTTGCGAGACATCTCTGATTGAAACTCCAAACATAAATCTTGAATATCATTAATATACTCTTGGTGCTTGCGATAGGCAGTTTTGGAATAGGACACCCAATCTCTGTTACGATGACCTGGCTCTCTTTTCTCGGCTTGCCATCGTCCTGGCAAGAAACTTGGAATGTGTGTGTGAATCTTATTGTTGAAATATCAGAGTTGCTCAAAATATGTTTATGTACTCACATATGTGACTGCTTTTAAGCTAGCAAAGCTAATCTATTTAACCGAAAATGCGGTTACTGAATCTTTTTTGTTTCATGTCCTTGTGTTTCAGGATAGCCTTCTTCGGTAGCCATGTAGGTACAAGGTGGTACCCCCAAGTTATGTTGAACTTAGGGAATTCATCAATGACGTAAATGAAGTTATGTTGAAGTTAACATAACTTTAGTTATGGGTTTTACAAGTAAGTTATAACTTGTTTATATCTCGTGTAAGTTTTTACTTTGTGGAAATCTGTTTTTAGGCAAAATTAGATTAAAATCTTCGTTTTGTGAGTTTTTAGGAACAACATTGTGTATAAGCCGGTATGTTTCCGCCTTTTGTGGTTGAGTGCGCAGGCGCAGATGCTCGTATTGGGCAGTAAGTATGAATTGGTTTGGCATCGAATGCGCTCGTGAATTTTGCAGGTGAAGCTAGGGTGCGCTCATTCATCTCCGCCTCAACCTGGGTTGCCAAAGACCAGTCGTCAACATTCATTTCCTCAAAAGTTTGGCAGCAGCAGTTTGGGATCCAGTGCGGCGCAGCACGGCGAGCTGTAGCGGCAAGCTGAACAGAAGTTTATAGACATGTATACATAGGGGAACAAACACAAACGCGTTTGTTATGGGTCTACCAAACACATGCGCGTTTGCCAGGTTTCTACGTTATTTTTTTTGGCAAACACATACGCGTTTGGAGTTCTACATGGTATACCAAACACATTTCACACACATTCCACACACATTCGACACACATTCCGCACACATTCGCGTTTGGCGCACTTAGCGTAGCAAACACATACGCGTTTGTTGAGTCCTGTCACCAAACACATACGCGTTTGGGAGTTGTTTCTCGTATTTAAACAAAACACACACGCGTTTGTTCCAAAACCTTACTTTCCTCACCCCCAACAACTCTAATTCACCCGTCCCAGCCAGCAATCCACGAGCGCATTGAGTTATATTTTTTGCTGTGCTTGCAGCAGGGTTCAGTCCTATGCTTCCCCAATAATTTCGATTTTTTTGTATTGACGTCCGACAATCATGGGTTCTCCGCAGTAGGTACAGAAAACTTTGCCAGACTTTGCCAGTCTTGCACGGCCAATCGCCTTGCAACAGCCTGCGCCGGAGCCCCAGAATCAGCAGCTATGCTTCAAAACTTCCGTTTCATGAACTCTAGTCGCACATGCCTTCAAAAACGTTCAAAACCTGTTTTTTCTTCCCACGGAACCTGAACACAAAAAAACACTCATGAAAGTTAACTTGTATAACTTTCTACTATCTCCTTTATAACTTATTGCCATGAAATCTTTCACTTGTGTTATAACTTCATGTCTTAGTTACAACTTAAACATGAGTTCTGAAACTTATAATCTATGTTAACCATTGTTAACCCTGCTTCTAAGTTAACTTACGAAGTTTATAACGTAGCTTATAACTTGGGGGTAACACCTTGTAGCGCCAGGACATGGAACTGTGAACTTCTTCTGAATGTGCAAGCAAATGCGTGAGAGCGGCGTCCTGCGTTCTCCAAAGCAGGCTTCGACACTGAAGACAAAATGCAAGGGATCTTCCGCGATGCCAAGCAGGTTCGGGAAAAGCTCAGGATGTTCAAGCGCCGCGCGCAGCACAGTTTTGGGCGTGTCCGAAAAGATCCACTTGGTCGTATCCCGCGCAGTTTGCGGTAGCAGCGTCGCGCAAGCTTCTTGGAAACATGTTTTACCTTCTGTGTGTAAAGCTGCAAGGCCGGGCAGAGCACCGCTCTTACCCAAGAGTGCACTGTGTGAACTTCTCCTTGTTTTTGCGCCATCTTTTCTTGCCCTATCACGGCATATGTTGTGTTGAAGTTATACTGACATGTGTATATATATATATTATGTTTTTGTTCAAGTTATATTGACATAAATATATATATATATCCCTATGGTGTGTTAAAGTTATACTGACATATGTATATATATATATACATGTGTTGTTGAAGTTATATTGACATATAAATATATATATATATATCCCTATGGTGTGTTGAAGTTATACTGACATGTGTATATATATATATATATATACATGTGTTGTTGAAGTTATATTGACATAAATAAATATATATATATATATCCCTATGGTGTGTTGAAGTTATACTGACATGTGTATATATATATATATATGTGTTGTTGAAGTTATATTGACATAAATAAATAAATATATATATATATCCCTATGGTGTGTTGAAGTTATACTGACATGTGTATATATATATATACATGTGTTGTTGAAGTTATATTGACATATATATATATATATATCCCTATGGTGTGTTGAAGTTATACTGACATGTATATATATATATGTGTGTTTTGTTGAAGTTATATTGACATATATATATATATCCCTATGGTGTGTTGAAGTTATACTGACATGTGTATATATATATATATATATATATATTATATGTGTTTTGTTCAAGTTATATTGACATATATATATATATATCTCCCTATGGTGTGTTGAAGTTATACCGTGTTAAACCCTGTTATACCCATGAAATTCAATCCGCCCCATCACCAGGCAAACGACCCAATACACACCACTGCTGAGAAGGGATGGAGCTCGTGCAGGATCTCCTGTCCAAATCCAACATGTCAAGACTACAGTTATGGCCCATAGAAATAGATGATTTTCCCAGCGAACGAAACCTCCATTTATGGTTGGGATTTTCCATGGCGAACTGTTAGTCATAACCAGAGGGTAATTCCCATATCATCCCACTATTCACCATTGTTAACCCATTGTTAAACCATTAAATCACTATTCAAAATAACCAAATGGTAACTGGTTATATTTCAATGGGATGATACTATATGATCCCATCAAATCCAATGTAAATCCAAGCGGAGAAGATCTATACAGTACAGTTATGGCCATGGCTATGAAATTATAAATAGTTATGATAAGATCTATACAGTACCATGGCCATTTCTATAATCTATGAAATTATAACTGGGTATGAATGGGATTATACATTCTATAAATGGGGTGACTTGTTAGTACTTATAACTGGTTTAACTCGGGCCATAACTGCATGCCAAGACTAGGTTAGCAACACCCAAAAAGACAGAAAAGTAAAATCCTATACCAAAATGATTTTAATGCTGGTGAATCATTTTTCTATATTTTTTGGGTGTTCATGGGGTTACTATATGGCGATATGGTTCAATGAAAAATTACAGGAGAACCTAGAGGAAATCACAGTCTTTACCAACCACATCTGCGGGCTTTCCTGAGCTCAAGATGTGATTTTCCGAGATGAAACCTCTATTCTGGCTGAAGCAATCACCACTTCCATAGAAAGAAAACACAATGCTGGTGAAATCCCCTTTTATCCGACATCTGCAGAACCAAATTATTTTTCACCCACATTCTCCCACTCAAAAAATCAACAACAAAACCCAATTTGATCAGCATGGATCAGTTGGTGAAGAAAATCCACCGAAGATCTGCACAGTCCTTTCCACTATGGTCATCCACTGATGCCCCACCTCCGCAGCCGGGAGGATACCTTGCAGCAAATCGCTGGTGCCGCGAAGCCAGCGGCATGCGGCCGTGCCAGGGCTGGAGATGCGGTGCGCGCGACAAAGCCTGGGGGTTGCGATGGAGGGTCGAGTTGGGAATTGAGCATATTTGGCTATGGATCAATACCTATAGATACATTTTTAGTGGGATGAACATCCATTTACCAGCTATTTTGATGTTCACCAGGGGTACAGGGTTTTGACCCATCCCCATTTCACCAAGCATGGGATGTGAATTGGGGTAGAGATTGTGGGGAAAATGTAGATAGCTAAGTTGGTGAACATAACTCCAATAACATCCAATAACTATGGTTTATGGTATTTATCACTGGGGTTTATAAATATAACTGGGGGGGCCCACATTGTAGAGATTGTGGGACTATCATGGAGATACAACCACCGGTGATGATATATGATCTTGAAGTGTTTTTGTTGGTCGTCAATCTCATAGGGAATAAACACATTATGGTAACTATATGGGTTGATCTACCCTCTGGTAAACTAACGTAACTATGGAAAATCACAATTTTTAATCGGAAAATCCACTATAAATGGTGATTTTCCATAGTTATGTTAGTCATTACCAAAGGGTAAACACATTATGGGAACTATATGGCTTAATCTAAACCCGATGAACATGGATTGATCAATCCCCCAATGTGGGTGGCGCATATCTGGATTTTTTTGCACAATTCATGGGGTTCCAAGCCAGGTTAAGGGGAGATGGGGAGATATATGGATACATATAATATATGGATACATAATATATATATATATATACGATGTGTATATATATATATATAGATGTGAGTTTGTCTGAACATGTGGGGCAAAGCCTCAACATCCAGTAGTTTGCGATCGTCATTTTCCATTTTTTTGTCCCCATCATCTCATGGAGATTTGTGGGTTTTTGCCCCATTTTCAGACAGCCCAGAGATCTGATCTTTTTGCCCATGAGTTACTGTAAGTCTCGCATCATCCCATCCTGGATCCGAATGGGGATCCCTATGGTCATCGTTTCCCCATGCTGGATCTTCCATTCCCATAGGATCCATGGTGCTGCTATATATGGTACCATTTACCATCAATATACCTCAAATGTTAGCATATATACCAGCACCATGGATCCTATGGGATTGGGAAAATATATAGTTCAATCACCGAAAAAACAAAGCCAGTAAACAAGAGAAAACATGAAACGCGCCCGTATGGCCGAACACTCTCCGGATGGGAATTCCGGAACCGGGATGAGGATCCTGAACCCAACTTGTAGCTGGTATGGGCTTTTTGCCAATTGCAAGTCTATAACGGGAGCATCATTCTACAGTTATGGCCCGAGTTAAACCAGTTATAAGTACTAACAAGTCAACCCATTGATGGAATGTATCATCCCATTGAAATATAATCAGTTATAACGAAAAAAACCATGGCCATACCTCTAGATCGCTCGTTTCAACGATTGCCGAACATGTTCACCATGGCGCAGATCATCCCTGGATGGCTGAGTTCCCCCAACTGGAAATGGTCGCAGAGATGACACTGGCCATAGAACTTCAACTGCAGCGAGAGCTGCAGCGAGGTCGCGGCTTGCCTTGGCAATGCCGGGAGCTTGGAGAGCCGGAGCGCGGCCAGACAACAGTGGATACAAATCAAAGGGCCAATATCCAAAAGGATCCAACAGGTATAATATGGTATAATATGGTATAATATGCCCTGTGGATCCATGGCCACTGTCTGAGAAGGTACAAATCACACTCCAAATCATACCCCAGTCCCACTTCCTAAAAAGGTACGACTGGATCCATAGGGAATGGGAATATTATATAATATTATGGATTATTATGGGATATAATGGGATATTATTACAGTAATCATGGGATATCAATATTTATAGTTCCCATCTAGGATTCAAAATTCATCCAAAAATGTTTTGCGGTCTTCATCACTCAACACAATGCAGAGTCCAGTCGGACCATGGTGACCATGCTGCGTGCGCGTGCAGAACGTGCAGAATGCCGACCAGTAGTCCACATCAAAAAAGTCGAAAATGTGCAACGAAAAGTGTGGGTTTATTATTTATGTGTCTGCAAAGAACTTGCCGCAAACGTCCTGGAATTTACCCGGCCTGGTAAACATACAAAAAGCTATTGAACATTGCCATAAAAATAGTTTATTTACCAATAAAAAATGGTGATTTTCCATAGTTATGTAAACGTTTACCAGAGGGCACATGGAACACCATTGAAGATCTTCATACCCACATTCACAGGGCTCCTCCGGAGACCCCAGAAATGGGGATATTTGTGGCTAGGGAGGATCAAAGAGGTGTTTCATGACCGATGTGTAGCTGCCTTGTGGCTACCATGTAGCTACGTGATACAGAAATGGAACAATCCATTAGGGGGAAACCTCCTGACGTTGCTGGTTTCACCAATCCCCATAGTCACAAATAGCATCTGGTTTCATCAAACATGGTGAACATCCAGCATTTTTGTCAATGTTTTCCCATTACCATCTGGTTATGACCAACATAGCCATGGAAAATCACCATTTTTAATAGGTGAACCATCTATAAATGGGCCATCTATACCATGGCTATGTTAAATAACCAGATGGTAAAACCTTCATTTATGGAGTTGTGGTCCATTGCCACGATTTGCCACGTTTGAAATGTCGGATTTGCCACGAACCCATCAGCGCGCAAGCTGCCATGGCGCTGTAGGTAGATTCCCATCAGCGATGACAAAGGACCATGGGTCCCCACCACTGTGACGCGCGTGACTCCTGTGGTCACGAATTTGAGATGGCAAAAAAGGCGCAAACCCTCTGGCAATGAAACCTGGCATATATATATATATATATATATTGTAAAAAATCTGAAAACAAAGTAGCTATACCAGCTCCTTTGGCTCCCAAAGAAGGAATTATATTTGGTATCCCAAAAACTAAAACTATTGCTATAACAATATATTATAACATACAATATCATACAGTTATATGCGTATCATACATGAATATGAATTTGTGTTGTTGTCCACTGCCAGATTTGACATTACTGGAGTATAGATGACTGTATCACTTCTGCTATCCAGCGAGATATATCATGCTATATTATCTGGTTGGTGGTTTCAACCCCTCTGAAAAATATGAAAGTCAGATTGGACCATCATCCCAACTATTGGGGAAAATAAGTCATGTTCCAAACCACCAACCAGTTATGTTTGAAATCAATTAAATGACAAATTGATTGAACTGGAGATAGTTACACCCTCAAATCCAGCGGTTTATGATGTTCATTGGTTTCCCCCATGTTAAAACACACCATCAAGGAACCATGATTTCAACAGCCATCAAGGAGCCATCCCATCATACGGGCTGGCATGGTATCCCGGTTCTGGATTTTTTTTATCATTCCCAATAAGTAGAAAGCCCTGTATCAACCCATCAACAAGGCAATTTTTAATGGCCTTGTTGGGTTCATTGTATATCATATTATATCCCTATTCTATTCCTGCTACTGGTATAATCCCTATTCTATCCCATTTGATGGTGAACTTGATTTTAATAGTTCAATAAGGCCATTTTGGGATAGTTACCCCATACTAAGCATCATTCCCACGGGGTCGCGACGTGAGGTCGTTATACTTTACCCAGATCAAGGAATCATGATTTATAAACCCTATTAACGATGGAATCTATAGATATGTCATGTTATTATATTATCATTATTTGTCTGATTATTATTACGCTAAACCTCCATCTAGTAAGGAAAATTTCCATATTTTCCAATATGGAGGTTTCCTAAGTCATGGGGGTAACCCTAGTTCTCATCCATTTTTTAAACGGTTTTTCCATCATAAATAAACCATCCAGCGAGCTTGGGGATCCCCCCATGGCGGCGATGGGTTTCCACCAGAATAGATGGTTTGAGTGATAAATGATGGACATGGAAACCAGCATATCTTCTTATGGATTTTTATAAGAAATGAAAAGGTTTTTATCATAAGAAAATTGTGATAAAATTGTTTTTAGAACCATTTTCTGGTCTTATGAAGCTTTATAGAACCATCTTCTTATGGAGTTTCCCATATTTTTTCCATTGTTTTGGTGTCATCCACCCCCGACCTCCACGTTCCTGTCTCCAGCTTCTCCGTGGGCTGAGCCGGTGGCGCCCGGAGCTGCCAGTAGAGGCGACGATCCGCCGCGCTGGGGCCTGGAGTTTGCCAGTTATGGCAAGTTTCATAGAAAAAAATGGGGGATAACCATAACCATTGATAAAGAGATAACATGGTGATAGAATGGGTGATCAAATGGTGATAACCATTGGATAAACCATGGAAATTTGAGGGGGTACCCTGTTTTGGGACATGAAACTCAGATTTGTTTCACCTCAAACGTGTCAACACATGTCAACAGAATTGTGGATTTCACCAATGAGGACGAGAAAACAGTGAAACATTATATTCTAGTCACAACAATGAAACCTACACTTAATGAACTTGCCATTGATGTCACATTATTCAGGCCATCTCTGGAAATATTTGAAATCTGGCCGCAACTTTCTGGACGAATGCCATCTGTAGGACTTGGTGCCTACCTTATCCAAATAATTCCATTTGGGGCTTGCAGAAAATAGGCTTTGCTTAAACCTCAAACGGTCGATCATCAGCTTCCTCCTTCACATTGCAATTCTGATCTATACCCCATCTATTGAACACACACACACACACCCACTATCACATGTAAGATTGGTTGTATCCCATTTCTCTCCAGTATATACATGTATACACACTACTCAAGTCCCGCGTCTTTGGCCCCTATGCTTGATACCATTAATCCCCAATTCACCGGGCAATGGTCCAATAGTTACTGTAGATCATAATCAATTATCAATTAACTAGTATGTATATATATATATATATGTATATATATGTATATATAAATGTATATGTATATATATGTATATATATGTATATATATGTATATATATGGATACCCTTTGGTAATTTCACATAGCTATGGAACATGGCCAGTCATAGTCGATTTACCTATTTGTAATGGTGGTTTTCCATAGCTATGTGAAATTACCAGAGCATAACTAACACACATGCATCAACCTGAGAAGTTTGGTTGAGGAACTTCTAACCTGCACACTAACCAGTCGCAATGAGGTTGGTTTCAAGTATCCACACTCATCCATAGTTATATTGTCATAGAAACCCTTATCCCATAAAAAAAACTCATCTGGTTGGCGGTTTTCAACCCCTCTGAAATTTATTATATAGTCAAATGGTATTATTCTTCCCAATATATGGAAAAATAAAAAATGTTCCAAACCACCAACCAGATAATTATATTGCCATAGAAACCCCTATCCCATAAAAAACTCATTAATCGCTAAGACACAAGACACTATACATCAAGTATATCCCCTTATATCACCCTAAGAAGACCAAAACATATCATATTCCACCAATCCTGAATACACGAGGAACATATCAATTAACTAGAATATGTTATAGTTTGATACCAGTAGTCATGTCCCAATATATCCCCACTATAAACCTAACCATACAATATGACATGTATCCTCATATATCCCGAACACATAAGACAAAACATATCCCATCATATCCTCATATATCCATCACATGTTATCCCACATATCCCCGTATCATATGGGGGTTTCAATACTAGAATGGTCAAATTTGGATGATTTGGGGGTATACCCCCAAGACTTAGGACCTCCATATATACTTTAGAATGTAGATATTAAATAGATATTATGCAATACATATACAATACATATAGAATACATATATAAATACAAAAAAAATATAATACATTATATGTAGAATACATATGTAATCCAGTAAAAATACATTGGAAATTTATATATAGCACATTTGTAATACGTATACATACATATAATACAATATAGTTATAATACAAAAACATGCATATAGTAATATAATATATCCTCTGGTAATTTAACATAGCTATTGAACATGGCCATTTATAGTGGATTTATCCATTGAAAATGGTGATTTTTCCATAGCTATGTATAGTATACACTCTATGGCTCTATGGACACCGTAGCTTAGGACATCTTAGAAAGACGACTAGCCAGGTGGATGGCTCAGCCCAGGTCCCAGTCACCGATGTCCGGCAAGTTGGTGACATCGCCAGTGATCCATGGAGGCTCTAACAAGTCCTTGTCCTCAGCGCCACGAGATGCGCCAGTTGGGGATAAATGATGGGAAAATGATGGGGAGAGACAGGAGAGATCGAGTTTTTCATGGAGAAAATTGAGAAAATGATGATTAACCAGTGGTTTCAGGAACATTTGTCGGTTAACGAATGAAAACTGGGTATCAAACTTGAGTTCAAGAATCATCCTAGTTTGCTTTAATCTTATTGACAACATATCAGCAATTTTGGAACATTACTGACGGCTAAGTCTAAGTGGAAAGGTATGTTTTACACGTGTGACACCAACAAACAGATCCCAATGTTGGCAAGTTGGAAGCCCTAGCACTACTAGCACCTGAAATAGCCGCTATGTTGTTATGCTTCAGTAGAACTGCTAGTCCACATCGGCAACGTTCGAAAAAACGTTGTTCCCTCGAAAGAACATGGCATTTTCTAAGCTGTAGAAAATCCACAGGCGATGTTGGATCCCGGCACCGGCTTCAATCACCCCCAGAGGCTGCATTGCGGCAGAGCGACCAAAAAGTCAGGAACTTTACTTTGAAGCTCCTGCGGGAGCAAGTCCGGAAAGTCGACAAGTCGACATTTTCTTGGCCGAAACCGGCCGAAACCATCCCCCAGTGATGTGAACGTTGGTTTATAAAGCATAGGAATAGTATGTCAATTAATATCTACCATAAACCATAGTTACCCTCTGGTAAACAAACATAGCTATTTTTCAATGACCCATAGAAATAGTTGATTTACCTATTAAAAATTGTGGATCTTTCCATATAGTTATGTAAACGTTTACCAGAGGGTAATGGAATATGAATGGTGATATAATGGGATATATGGGGGTGTAAGTGGGTAAGGGAATATTTTATATAATGGTGATTCATAATGGGAATGTCGGAATGTCAATATATCTACCATAAACCATAGTATAATATGATAAATGATAACTATTAATCTCATAACTATTAATCCCATATTATGCCATATTATTACCATATCATGCCCATTTAGAGTGGTTAAATCACCATATTTATCCTGGTGAAAAATGGGAGTTTTCTCAACCAGATCCCATAAATTGGTCCTTCAAGCTAGCGCTCACAATCTCTTGACACCTGGCCGGTGTCATTTCCATCGGTGTCCATTTCCAGAAAGCAGCCAGAGTCGAAGTCGTCCAAGTCCATCAAGGGTCAAATCTCCGAAGAGTTTTTATGATTATAATATATTAGACATATCCAATACAATCATTAACATTCATTAACTATTAGTTTATCAAAAATCAAGAGTCAAATCTCCGAATAATCAAATCATATAGCTCAAAACCATGCTTATTCTGGAAGCCCATCTAAATGTGAATCTCTTGTGTATGGGTGTTCCACAAAAATAGGTGTACCCCCAAACCATCCTTTTGAAACAACTGAGTTCAAGTCAACTGGTTTTACCACAATGTTCCCATTAAGAATCTCCATTTTGGGGTATGTCAACTCCGGATTAAACCATTACTATGAACATTGAGGGGGTACACCCAAAATATGGATGAATTACATTGAATTACTATTTAAATTTGGTACCACCCTAGTAAATTGTATGCTTATTAATAATAGGCCAATAATAGGTGGTAAATCATTTATATCCAAATATATCACAAAAAAACAAAAAACAATCAAATCCCTCATAGATGGCAATGTCCAACCAGTAATTATAAGCATGGCCACAAAGCTCCATTTCTATCCCCAAATCCATAGATGGAACATCATGGAAAATACCCTCTGGTAATGACTAACATAGCTATTGAACATGGCCATAGAAATAGTGAGTTTTCCTATGAAACATGGTGATTTTCCATAGTTTCTTGTAAACGTTTACCAGGCCGGGTAAATGACTGAATCCATATCTGGAGAATCACCCAACGAAGCATTCGTTGGTTAAGTCACCATGAAAAATGACACGATGGAATCAGCCGAGGCTTTGCATCACTTACCCTCTGGTAATTTGTTACATAGCTATTGAAAATGTCCATTTCTAGTGGATTTACCCATGAAAAAATGTGATTTTCTATAGTATCTATAGTTATGTTAGTTTACCAGAGGGTAAATCACCATTCGTTGGATCTCTGCGGAATCAAAGCATGGTGATTCATATGCCAGTCAGAGGTTTCGTCATCGACATAGCCCAGTCATCTAGGTCGAATTAGAGCTTTCAGATACTCAAACGCTCCAAAATCTTTGCTTCATTTGGGGTGTTACCCCGTGTTGACATCCCATAACTTTGGAAAGCCCGAAAAGTCCATTGGACTTTGTGTACTCTGCGCTTCATCCCACTTACTATAGCCCTATATCATGTTATATCCCCAAAAAAAATCCCAAGCAATTGGATGATGGACTAAATCAACCAGTTCTCAACCAGCTATGGCCATGGCTACTAGTTCTAACTGCTTATTTCAATAGGATTATACATTCTATAAATGGGGTGACTTGTTAGTACTTATAACTGGTATTTCGGGCCATAACTGTAGTAAATTGGATGATGGATTATTATTATATCCCACTTACTATAGGTATCTATAGGTTATATAATGTTTATCCAATCACCAATTAAATTAGATCTCTGGGAAACTGACATAGCCATGGAAAATCACCATGTTTGATAGGTAAACCATCTATAAATGGGCCTTTTTCAATAGCTATGTAACAAATTACCTGAGGATAAATCCCATATCATCCCATTGTTCACCATGGAAATACCCATTGTGAACCCATTTTTAAACCATGAAAATCACCATGCAAAATCACCATTTATACATAGTGGTTAAATCACCATTTTCCAAAACGGTTTTATAGTAGAATCACCATGAAAAATCACCATTAAATCACCAATGAAATTAGATCTCTTACCCAATACTATGGGATTATTATTATCACCAATTATTTTTCAGAGGCTACCCCATAGTTCCCATAATGTGTTTATTCCCTATGGGATTGACAACCAGTTATACCCTCTGGTAATTTAACATAGCTATGGAAAATCACCATTTTTAATGGGAAAATCCACTATTTCAATGGCCATTTTCAATAGCTATGTTAGTTTACCAGAGGATAACCCAAGTCTCCCATGGGTTCACCCTAAAAGGATCCCACAAAACTCCCATCGGCACCCGCGGCCATCAAAGTTGGTCTCAACGCATCGTCGCGGCACGCAGCGAAGAGCTCCAAGCACCGGGACCGCGCCGGGACCGCGCCTGGAAGGCAGGGAAACCCGGAGAAAACTCACGGAAATGGCCGGAAAATGCCAGGAAAAACCTCGAAAACTCCCAGATTTTTTGAGGAAACTGATCAAAACTCCTGAAAAGTGGCGAACTAATCGGGTGTCAACAAAGGTGGAATCAGTGTACTCATGGTGTCTTCCAAGTCTAGGATGTCTACAGTCAGACTCTCATGGGGGTCAACTTAATACTCCATGGCAGAAATGTGTGAGGTTCCAAACGATGTTTGGGGGACATTGGGTTTTGGGTGTCAAAAGATACCCATTTTGTTTGATGTTTGATGTTTGGTGTATATGTATTTCTTTCAGTGGTTGAAGATCTCAGAACATGTTTGAAGCACGCAGCTTTTAGAACATTATCATAGACCATAGTAAACCACAGCAAATCTAATTATAAACCAACTCAGCTATGATTTTTCTCGCAGTGTTCAAAAACCAACATGTTGTTCCAGAAAATATCTGCAGGTTGGGCCAGACAGGGATTCCCATACCAATAGATATAAAGGAATGATGGCAAGCATTTTTCCACTGGATAGTAACCCCCGAACCAGGCATCAACCAACAAGGCCTTTTGAACACTCATTTGAAGGCCGCGGCCCCACGTGAAATTTACCGTAGGATGAACTAACCAATTGATCACTAACCTGAATATTCACCTGGAATTTGCCGCCATTTTGGGATGATTCCCTGAAAATCTGACCGTTCCAAGTCATCCAGATTGCTTGGATTACCCCACGGGATAGTCATGCCAATCGCTTTACACCATAGGATAATAACTGGTTGGTGGTTTCAACCCCTTCTGAAAAATATGAGTCAATGGGAAGGATTATCCCATATATTATGGAAGATTAAAAAATGGTTGAAACCACCAACCAGATATATATATATATATATGCACATATATATATATATAATACTATATATATCATATCAATATATCCCTACTAATTCATACAAATGTATCCAAAAGAATTCGATCAAACAATGGGATAATCATGCCTTATGGACATGTCCTGCAGTGCGGCACTGTGCCTCGACCCCAGCTGGAACTGAAGTGCTTCGCCATCCTCGTCGCTCTTCTCCAGGACCTGTCGGTAAACCCAATGCCCCCGATGTTGGTTGATGAAATTGGACCCCTAGAAATGGGATGATTAAAAGGACCCCGAATCAAAATGGTCAGGAAGGTTTATTGTTGGCTTTAAACACATTGATACTTGGGACTTTGACCAATTTTCATAGGTATTTGGAGGGTCTAAGTAGCAGCAAACTTACATTCAATGGCATAGTGACAAAGTAAGCAACGGTCAGGAAACTATGAGCGGTAGATGTTGAAGACACATATAACTTGGAAACAAGTTGTTCAAGATTCAACCAATAGTAGTTTAGTAGGCAATATATACAGTAAATACTATATATATATATGACAAGTGGCTAGGTCGAGATAAAGATGTTTCCATATACCCTCGGGTAATATAACATAGCTATTGAAAATGGCCATTTATAGTGGATTTACCCATTAAAAATGGTGATTTTCCATAGTTACGTTAGTTTACCAGAGGGTATGTTTCCCCTAGTTTGACACTCCACCGAAGTATTCAGAGTACAGAAGACCCGTCAGCGGCGGGTCTTCATCCTCCAACTGTGCATCAAGTTGAGTCGGAAATCAAACCCTGAGGACCCACACTCCCATGCCCAAGGGAAAACCAAGGGAAGTCTAAGACCCAAGTTTTTCAGGTGTATTATGGAATTTATGATGGTGCATTTGCAAAGAACTGATAACATCTTGTAGATATATCAACAGCATTCAGCAACAATATGACCTTTGGCTATCCAGCTTTGTGGGCCCTTAGAATCGCACAACCTGCACGGCCACAGAAAAGCGCACGCTGCTCTGCTCTGCCTGGTGCAAAGCAAAATAGGCCAGGTGTTCTTACAGAAATTGGTTGCTCCTACCACTCAAGATGGCTCATATATATAATATGTATTATTATATATTCAGATATTGTGTTTAATGCAGTTCGAAATGAATTACTTGACCTGAACCCTCATAGTGACATCAAACAGAACAAGAAACATTTCACCCAAAGTAAACTCATCACTCACAATTTGGATGCCAAGAACAAACAAAAGCATTGAATGCATTAAAATGCAAGAAAGTGCACAACTGTCATTGCAACCACAGTGGCCAACAAACATCATTTCTTTCCAACTCCACATCTGCCTCGCACTCTGCATGTGCGAGCGCAACAAGTGTTGCAGCTGTCGCAAGGAGAGCGGACCACATGAAACGGCCAGCATGTCGCCCGGACGCATCACGGAAACGCTGAGAGATTCTTTGTTGGCAGTGGTTGGCTATGGTTGGCTGGTGGCTGAGGCACTAGGGCAACAACATATTCTCCAACTGAGGTCGTTTTCCATCGCAGTTTGATCCTCCCAAAAGAAGTTCTTGTAGTCAATCAGCCAGAAATGTGCTAAACATTTCACAAGTCACATGTTGTTGGCATAGTTATTTTGCTTGTATCATCTGTGGGTTACTGATTTCTATGGGTCCAGTGGACTTATCCAACTCCAGGAGGGTTTTCATCTGGAATTGTGGCAGGTTGCTGTTGCAGGGTTGGCTGCTTGGACGTTCTGACCCTCTTGAACTGGATCATCTTGAAACGTCATGCTGCTAAGTAATTATTTGGCCACCTCATTTACGATTCTTTGCGATTCTTGGCGTCGCTGGTCAGTGAAAATCCATGGTAATTGATGGGATATCATAATATCCATATATTGATATATTATGGATATTACCATGGATATTACCATGGATATTATCATTTTATGTACAACGCTTAAATCTGATGGAGAATTACCAGCCTCATCCTTTCGTCATCCTGCAATTCCCAGAAAAAAAAAACATATCCGACAGACAATGTCATCCAGCCAACTTATGTGGATTAGGGCTGGATGCTCTCTGTTAATTTCCTGGCCAACTGAAAGAAGGCGCCCAGTCACCTGAATCATGGCAACCAGTGATGAACTCAGACTCAGAACTCAGCGTTTGTCCTTCAATGATTCTTTCCAAGGATGCAAGAGTCTGTATCATCATATCATCATTAGCAGCTTGTCAAGAAGGGCGCAAAATCAAAAAAGAGCGAGATAGAGAGAGAGAGAGAGAGAGAGTTCTTGACCCGGAAAAAGGGAACTTGACATGTGCTGCATGGCAGTTTATCTACGTTTATCATAGTCCCTAATATCCTCTGGTAAACTAACATAACTATGGAAAATCACATTTTTTTAATGGGTAAATCAACTATAAATGGTAATTTTCAATAGCTTTTTGTATGTTTACCAGGCCGGGTATCCTCATCTGCGTCCCGATGTCAATTTTCCCATCCAACGCCCTCGGCTGAATCGACCCCAGTTTGCTACTGTTTGAGGTTATTACTCTCAGAAGTCATCAGCATTAATCAACATGAATCAACCAAGGCTTATGAATCCAGGTAAAAAAAACAAAAAAAACTATCCATGTTGACACATGCTAACTGGTACCACCACATCACATACCCCGAATCTTCCCCCGGCGCCGCAGGGTTACTGACCTGCAACTCCTTCCATACCACCTGCCACGCGGGCTCCAGACATCTGCTTAGTAGGGAATGGGGGAATGGGATGATGGTTAGTAGTTATGATTGGGTTACCCCATTTCCATCCATTTCCTATGTTTAGCACCAGGAAGGCGACTTGGACTTGGGGAAGTTCTATGAGCATCTGTGAGTCATGTTTGGAATACACATAATTTATTTTGGAAATCCAAGAGTTTGTAGCAAGCATCCATGTTCTCAAGCTTGTCCAACCATTGACCAAACCTCCTGTCAATGTGGACAAGTGGATACTCTCTACAACACACACCCACAGTGACCGATAGCAAAACATTACAAATAACCAGATCAGCAAATTGTGTTAGCGTTGGTCACACATGTAATTGATACGAATGTAAATATAATTGTGGCTAATGATGTATCTACACAAATTACGGTGCATCTAAACTCTAGTAACTCTAATCCCTTTGTAACTGTCCCTAAAATTCAGGGACCACCAGAAACTTGATCATAGATTTGCCCATCCCCACAACTGTGCGAGTTATGAATCGTAATATACCGTTACACACACAAAAACAAGATCAAACACCGGGTTCCCTTGACCATATGTTGCGAACTCGTCAGTTCTCTAAAATGTATGAAAACTGGAGAATATCCACTGGAGACCGCTTGTGGCGGAGTTTACTTGGGGAGTCATCATCCTTTTCCCCAGCAAAATGGAACAAAATTGTTTTTTTGTGGGGTATCCCCACAGTTATGGCCCTTTACCAGTTAAAAGTCAGTTCGAACCACATTTATGGAATGCTAACCCCATTCATGGGCATTTATAACTGGCAAAGGGCCATTTGATGCGTGCGACACACACAAACACCCCCCTTTCCACCAGCATCGCATGGCGATAAACGCCACCTGTTTGGCGGAAGAGAAACAGCGCTCACAGAGATCATAGTCACAGCTCCTCCGCGGATCGAAGTTGGAATTTGGAGGGACACAATTTGGAGGTTTATAAAACAGAACATCTATATATAGTATATAGTTGTTGATGAAATATTGAACTATCTATAGACTCTGTAGTTGTTTTTCATGTTTTTTATTTTTTTTTTAACATACATCTTTTTGGTTGTTGATGAAATATTGAACTATCTATAGACTCTGTAGTTTTGTTTTCATGTTTTTTCTTTTTTTAACATACATCTTTTTGGTTGTTGATGAAATATTGAACTATCTATAGACTCTGTAGTTTTTTTTCATGTTTTTTCTTTTTTTTTACATACATCTTTTTGGTTGTTGATGAAATATTGAACTATCTATAGACTCTGTAGTTGTTTTTTTCATGTTTTTTCTTTCTTTTTACATACATCTTTTTGGTTGTTGATGAAATATTGAACTATCTATAGACTCTGTAGTTTTTTTTCATGTTTTTTCTAAAAAAAAAAACATGATCATGTTTTGTCGTGTGGAGGTTTCCTCCACGTCATGGGAATACCCCCCTTGCATCATCCAGTCGTCATGGATGACCATGTGGTATAAAAACCCTATGGAGACTTGAAGATCACCCAATTTAAGAAACCTCCATATCTGGGCTCCAAAATACCAAAAATCACAAAGCTTCAAATGCTAATTTCTACAATATCCGGGCTTAAATTGCATGAAATTACGAAAACCATTCCGGGTTTTGAACTGCCAAGAATATTATATTTGTGTTTAAAACGAACTATAAATTGCTATACAATACTACAAATTGCTATGAATGACGATATATTACGATAGATTCTGCCAGGATTTACCCATGGGGACCAGTTTTCCCTCCAGCCGTGCTCCTGCATCGATAGGTGAAGCTGGAGTCAATGCGTTTGGAGCACCTAGGGCTGCGGTGCCCCAGGCCAGGTTTGGTTTCAAGCCATCCAGACAATGGGGATGGCTTGAATGGCTTGAAACCACGATTATATCTAACAAAAATTGGTTGCTAAACGTTGTTAGAGATGGTTTAAAATGGTTTAAATCTAAACCAATGGTTGTTTTGAGAATTGAAACCATCCAATTTCTGGAGTAAGATTTAGGAGGAGCGATTTTTGAGCCGTAGCAACTCATGAAACGCACAAGTGTTCTGGAGCACCTTCTTCCAGCTTGGTGGTCCTGTGCTGTTTCCCATGCAAAAATGGGGAGGTTCTCTATCCCGTGCTGTTCGTGTAGCCCACCTATCACAGAGTTGAGAGCCCACAGCGCATCCACAGAGTGTCAGCGGATGCCTCAGTTGCAGCGGAAGCTTGCATTTTGGAAGCCAATTGGAGACCATAAATGTAGAAAAAAAACTAAAAAACAAAGTGACAGAGATTAATTATTTATGTTGAATATGACTTCCATGACCTTTTGATCATGATCATCAGATTATATTGTTGGCAATTTGAACTTTTGCGGGGCAGTGTCTTGGTGAACATCACCCTACCTACCTAAGTTCTACTTGGATAGGCGATGGTGTCACTTCGCTGATCAATAAGTGGATTACAAATCCTGAAAACTGGGTATACTTGCTTGCCCCTAGTTGAAACAATTTCATGTATATATGTATCCAGTGTGTATGTACATATTATATATAAAATATAATATATATATATATTATATATATAATAATCTTGTAGATATATATATATATATATTAATATAGAAATATAAAAATATAACATATATAATATATGATACATAATATACAATATATAATACATAATATATAATAAATAATATATAATATATAATAAACATTAATAATAAATAATATATAATATATAATAAATAGTATATATAATATATAATAAATGATATATATCTATATAATATATAATATAGAATATATAATATATACTATTTAGTATTGCATACATAATATTTAATATATAATATTTAATATATAATATTCAATATTTAATATTTAATATATATAATATATTATAGATTATATATATATTATTTAATATATATAATATATTATAGATTATATATATAATATATTATATATAATATATAATGAATAATATATTATAAATAATGTATAATATATTATAACAATGTATAATATATATATAATATATATATATTAAATAATACATAATGTATAAAATAATATATATGATATATGATATATGATATATGATATATGATATAATAATAAAATATGTATATATATATATGCAATTATCTTGAAAACTACATATTATGATGAGTTATAGTTATTCATTCAGGAACCAGTCACTCGAACGAAGGCCCTGCTGATGGCAGCTTTTGTTTTTCCGAGACACGCGTTCTTGCATTGAAGGGGATGACTCGCCTGCCGTCTTCCCATGGCTGAATAAAAATCAGTTTAAAGGTACTACCAATGGACATGAAACAGATTCTGGTTCCAAAATCATCCAACAGATTCTGTTGGTTCTGGAACCGGAACTGGTTTTGTAATGATGTACAATAGAATCTGGTCATACAACAGAATCTGGTCTCATTGTTGGAAATTGGAACAGGTTCTGTTGGTTCGTAATGAGTTCATCTTATCTTTTTCTTGCCCGGCGATCAGCTTGGCTTAGGGAAACCCACCTGCTATTCGTTGATTTGCGCGAACGAAACCTGGGATTTATTTGTGAACTTGTAATGACATATTCACTGAACATCTATGAGAAATATTATATATATCTTATCTGCCCTCCATCATGAGGTCATCAACCATGCAGTGATTTCATC